TTTTCAAGACTAAGTAAGTGTTCTAAAATTTTTTCTTAACCATCTTTTCTCTTTGGTTTTTGATTTTATGGTGGTGAAAAATTTAGAATTTGTAAGAGGGATGAATTTATGTTGAATAAACATGGTTTTTGAGGTTGTTAGTAGTATAATAAATTTCTAGAGTATAACTTTGTTGATGAGCTTTGAATTTGAGGCTTATGGATCAAATCCTAAACTAGATTTTTATTCAATCCGAAAATATATGTTAATTTATTGAGATTTAGATAATTATTTGGGATGAGAAATGAAATATTATGGCTATAGGATTATGATTCTAAGCTAGATACTCAATTTTTAATTTTTGAGTATTTTAGATGCGAATTTATGAAATAAAAAGAAAATTTTAATAATAAAAATTAGTTTAGAAGTTGATTTTTAAATTATTAATGTTTCTTACTGATTAAAAGAGGAGTTAAAAATTTTACTTAATAGTACTAACTCGAGATTTGTATTAAGATTGAGATTAAAAATTATGTTATATTTTTTTAATTCTATTATTAGAATTATTTTATTATTTTTAAAAGTTGAAACTAATATTTATAAATAATATGTTATTTGTAGATTGTATTGTTGGTGAAGATTATGGTGGGAGAGAAATTGTAAGGAATAAGTTATTGAAAAAGCCACGAGGTAACAATGCTTTTAATTTGTGATTAGTGTTACTTCATGTTAATTGGGTGATTATTGAGAAAATTATAAATTTTGTAATATTGCATAATTGTGCAATATTATTATGAATTTTTTTGATTATTGTGGGAGGTTTTGGGAGATTTGCTATTGTTGTTGTATTTATGTGCCACGTGGTACGCCCCTATTGGAGCTCAATAGGTGGCTTGTAGGGGCTCAGGCTAATCTACTTTTGGCTGGGTAATTTAGCACCGAGTGAGTGCTACGGCTCGAGGTTAATGGAGGGAGATAAGGATGGTTGTTGTTTTGTATCGTAATATTTCTTGTATTTTATTGGAATTATATTATTTTTCTACTTAGTAAGCACACACTTAACTATTTGAATACACTATCATAAATTGGCATTGGTTATTGAAACTTTTAAATCTCATTATGTGGTTAACAATTTTCAGGAGAAGAGCCATGAGTAACACGTGGAGTCCCAGAGACTTAGTGGCTTAGATCCACTATCTCTTTTGGGTATTTGATTTATGATTTATAATGTGTTGTATTGCCAATACTAGGGCTTTTTGTTTATTGACAATTATATGAATATAATGATGTAATCATGTCTTTCAAACTATTTCTATTTTTGTATACTTTAGATGATTGTAATTTTTGATATTTGATTTACTTTGGATGGGTTAAATGGCATGATTATGAGGCCAAATAACTAGCTTGTTTTGAAAATTGACTAAGTTGTTTATTTTACTTGTTGGTCTATGGTTTGTACATGTTGGGAGTATAAGGATGGACAAATGTGATTTTAGCCTAATGTCATGTGGGAGGTAAAAAATTATCTGAAATGTTGTATTGTGCAAGTTTAAGCCAATTATAAAATATTTTTATATTGAATTTATTGATATAAAATGTGTTGGGTGGCTGTAACTCAACTATGGTTGAGTTAAATTATTTAAAAAAATTTTGGTGTGTTACAAAGGCTATGGAGCTCATCCGCCAAGTCACCTTACAAGCTATAGAAGAAAAGCCAAAATGGGTTATCCTAGAGAAGCCAAGTGTCAGGATGACTTAGCACCTAAAGCCCTTATACATTAAGGCATACTTCGATGGGAAGCTGATGACTAGGTACTAATAAACAACGACTCAGTGGTAAATATACTGTCAGCCCGTATGATGCTCAAGATATGGAGAGAGAAGTGAAACCTGATGCCAATAGAGGCGTCCGTAGTGGGATACACCGGGACTGCTTCCAAGGTCCTTGGTATATTGCCATTACAGGTTAATGTAAAGACCAAATTCTTTCTGACAGCCTTTTTCGTGATTAGCATCAACAAATTCTCAAACTCCATATTTGCAACTTTAATTTATTTTTTCCTTTTATCATTTAGTTTTAGTCTTTATTTTTCTGTTGTACTGCCGGCATAGCTCGCCACCTCTTTAATTACTGTATCTCTACTTCCCTGTATCTACATTAATTTTCTTTACTTCACATTCTCACATCTGGGTGAATTGTGGTAAGGGAGCTCGAGTTTTCTACGTTTGATTAGAAGTCAAGTTCTTTAAGCCTTTTGAGACCCTGCATCTCTGGTACGCCTCACGACACTACACGCCTGATTGTTTTTTATGAACAGAAATAAAAGAATTAATATATTTTGGAGAAACCTCTTATAGGAAAAAGCCAAGGCTAGTAGCTTATTATCATTGTATATTGCTTGTAAGAAAGCTTTCTAGGAAGAAGTAAGTTACATTTTGTGTTATTTTAATACTTTTGTAAAGAGGGGAATTTGAACATTATAGCTTTACCTAGCCGAAGTTATCAAGGTTTCCTTAGGTACGAAAGTTTAGTTTAAATAGATTAGGCTTTACTCTGCATACTTGATGAATGAAATATTGTGAGTATTCAGATAGCTTCTCTCTCTCTCTCTCTCTCTGTGCATTTTTGCCTGTCCCTCTCTTGCTTTGTGTGTTGTGTGTGTGTGCGTGCATGCGTGTGTGTGTGGGGGATGGTCAAGAGAAGATGACATCACCCTTTTATTAACCTGGTTGGATTAAGGGAGCACTATAGAGCTAATGCTTTGTTTGGTTGGAAAGAAAATAGGAGAGAAAATATATTTTTCTCTGTTTGGATGAAGAAGAAAAAGTGAGAGAAAAGAAAACTTGGGAAGAAAATGAGGTGCGGGACCTACCATATTTTCTCTTAACTTTTCTCCCCAAAGGTGGAGATATTTTGAGAGGATTCTTATTTCCACTACCTACCGTCCCCTCTCTCCCCCTCTTTTGCCCACTTCAATCACATTAATTCTTACAAACAATCAAATTTTGATCTTGATGAAAATTTGTGTCTTTGGCTTTCTAGAACTAATTTAATTTTTACAACTAATTTTAATATAATTTGTTTTGATGATGTTGATTTTAATTTAATTAATTTGATTTTAAGAAATAGAAACAGAATTTGCATCTTTAGCTTTCTACATTTTTTAACAACTAATTTGATTTTAAATTAATTTGATAATGTTAATTTTAATATAAGTTATTCTTTCAATTTATTTTTACAAGAAATTTACATTGGATATGATATATACTAATATAAGGGTATTATAATCATTATGATATTTATTCTATTTTCTTGTCCATTCAAATACAATGAACGATGACATTTTCTTTTCAATTTCCTCTTTCCTCCATTTTCTTTCTTCCATTTTCTTTCATATCAAGTTTTCTTCCCATCCAAATGAAGGGTTCTTTAACAAACTAGGTCAATGTGGGGACAACATCGTTAAGATCATTAAGGGAGAGAATTTGACTCGGACGAAACCTAAGGATTCAATCATAACACCCAGCAAGAAGATACATATGCAGATTGTTCATCGACTTTTCAATGCCCCAAAAGCACATTTGACCATACCAAGTCAAATTGAATTACGTGTACAACAAAGGCAATACATATAGGGACTTTCACTTTAATGTTTAGGTGCATGTAAACATTTCTGGTTCGATCAGATGACTAAATAATGAGAATTTCAACATATTAATCATGATTCCTGTTGATATAAAATTACTTGAGAAGCGGAAAGCCATTGAATTATAGTCGTCACTTCAGGATCTCCTCCAAAGGCACCACATCCCCAGTTTCCAGTAGCAACCCCAATATTATCGTGCTGGTCCATTCTAGGATGACTCTTCTCAGAATGTTTTAATACTTCATCTGCAGAATTTTCTTCACTTCCTTCCGTAGATGTCGAGGTGGAAGCATATACCTGTGGATAAAACGAAGAATGTACAAGAAAACCATAACGATGAGAGATCAATGAGTACCAGAGACAATTTATTGTATCAATGCATCTTAAAGAAATATTCTCATTAAAACATTATAGCTGCTTAAGTCCAAGCTATTCAAAATTATATATCGAAGGGACAACCCAACTAGTTCAGAAGGGCATCTGTTCTCTTGCAATATTTCCTGGTACAGCTGACACTTTGATTGACTCAAAAAACCACAGAATGCCTTATTGACCATTGCAGGAATGAAGGGGCTGCAATTATTTTTTTTATGGAGTTGAAATCAGTATTTTACTATTTTTACATTTTGCAAAAAGTGAAAAAGAAGATAATAGTTACCTCATAGTCCACTTTAAACTAAATAATTTTACAGATTGCTACTCTGTTCTTTTAATCAGATGGTTGTTGATTTACTTAATATGTTGAGAAATGTTAAAACAAAATAATAGAAACATTCTAGGCCTTCATTTAGGAACTTTCAGTTTCCAGGTTGGAGTGATTCTCAACAACAAACTAAATTTCATTAGGTTTGTAAATTAAAATTTTATAAACATGACTTTGTCACTTATTGGGGGAAAAAACACTAGTTTGGCCAATTTGTCCTTATCTGGACCTCACCCAAGATTCATGCTTCAAGAAATTAGTGTTCCCGAACTATCCATCATCCCCAAATCTCAAGTCACACTCCAATTGATTGACAAGAAGTGTCCCAAACCAATTCCAAATAGTTTCCTAGGAACAATACAGCACTAACGTTGCGTACTGAACTGCAATTTTCAAGGCAGCACAATAGTCTAACATAAGGTTTAAGGATTATAATATTTGTATATTAGTCCCTTTGTTTGCATAGATGCATCATCCCATATAGCAGAAGTTCATCGAAATCATTATAAACCAAGATTTACAAACCGGGGAAGAAACTTTTCCCAGTATTGTCTCATCCCAGGGCCACATAATGCATCAATTGCAACAATCCAAGTTTTACGTCTTCCAAGTTCATCCAAATCCCATTTATCCATCTAGTCACCAGAAAATCGGAATGAGGAGGCATACCTAAACAAATCAGGACACATGGTTGTCATCAGTATATGAAGACACGACCCGCAATTACAGAATCTTTAAGTCTGAAAAGTTAAAATCTAATATATTTGGCATCACATCAAATTATTACTTTCATATCTAATTTAATCCCACTACATGAATGCAAACAACAACACAGAAAGACAGAAATGCCAGCAGCATATTTTCAACAGCTCCACCTAATTGATCTTCTATGTGTCCAGAACTGTGAGTCTATATGCCAAATGAGCATAAGACAAACCAGCGAGATTGATTAGTTCAATCTGACGTTGAATCTAGATTTGAATTTATTCCCCGCGTCATCTGTTCCCTGCGTTGTTGTCAACCCTAGTGTCGGACGCCGTCACCGTTTCTTACATTGTTTTTAATTTTTTATTTTAATTTGGCTTTGAATCTGGTCGTGTAATCGTTTGGATATTGACGATTTTGAATAAAGCTTGAAGGTAACCGTTTTGTGTTGAGTTAGGACTTCTTTTGTCTATGGATTTCCAGATGCTAATTAAATGGTTGCTGTTTCTCTGTGTATAGCAAAAATGATGAGGCTACAGTCGTATGCAGCGCTTAGTTTCCTTGCAACTCTAGCTGTTACGCATCATGCATTCAACAGCAGAGGTCAATTTTATCCAGCAATGGTTTTTCGGTCAACTTCCAAGATCAACTTGGTACTTCTTCTCAACATGGGTCTGGTCATTATGTGTCTTTTATGGCAATTAACAAAGAAGGTATTTCTTGGCACACTCCGAGAGGCAGAGGTTGAGAGGCTTAATGAGCAATCATGGAGGGAGGTTATGGAAATCCTTTTTGCCATCACCATTTTTAGGCAGGATTTCTCTGTTACATTCCTTGCTATGGTCACAGCACTGTTGTTGATCAAAGCTTTACATTGGTTGGCTCAGAAAAGAGTTGAGTATATTGAGACCACTCCTGCAGTGCCCTTGTTGTCTCACATTCGAATTGTGTCTTATGGGTTTCCTCCTCCTTCTGGATGGACTGTTTTTTTATAGTTCCGTGAAGCATTTGATACTATCATGGCAGGCTTCAGTTTCCCTCTTTTTTGCTTTTAAGTAAGCCTTCTTCTCTGTATTCTTGCTAAATTAGTTGCCAGTTGCCATATGCTTAATTTGAATTGAAAAATGCTTCACTTTATGTCAATTTTAAAGTTTTTGTATCTACATTGGTTGTGTCAAGATTTGAATGATGTATGGAGACTAAAAAGTATACCATCTTTAGCTGTTCTTAAGCCCAGTTAGTCCTTTTAAACATATAGAAATCCACAATATTGTTGAATTCTTAAATTCTTTGTCTGATAAAAAGCCATTTTACTGTAAGCAACCAATCATTATGTTTAATTGACCTTGGTTATAGGATTATTGATGTCTAGAAGTTATAAATTTCTTCTTTTGTTCTTTGATCAAGATCCTTTTTATGTGGGGAAATATTGGCATAACAAAGAACAAATTATAAGAGAGGAGTATATATCTACAATAATAAAATTATAGTTGGTTGGCTGTGGGAAAAAAAGTGATTGCTGGCATATAGAGTTAACCGGCCAACCGTATCTCGATGGTGGTTGGCTTAGTGGATAAGGAATTGGAGGTATGCTCCTTACTTTTAGCAACTTGGTTTCAAACCCTGGGGCAAGTACCAAGGAGAATTTATTCTCTTACATGCACCAAGACAATGTTAAGTCCTTTTTGATCACTTGAGGTGAGCCTTAGTCTTGGATTGTATGCATTTTAGCCCAAGGAATTGTTACCTTATCAAATAATAACAAAATAATTGATGATCAGATAAATCATGATTTTTAAATTACTGCATGTTGATATTATCCCTATATATTAATCAAGTTATGTGTCTTTGTGGATCTTATATTAACTAATTAAATTGCATTAAAAAAATTATAAAATGCCTATATATATGAATCACTTCACCTAGTAGGAGTCTATTTATCCTAACATGTGGTTTAACATTTCTGTTTATTCAGTTTAGAAAAGTGCTTTGAATTCTTTAAATAATTTATCCTGGGGATTTGTCTTTGACACTATCCATTTCTATCTCAGGTACATGATACTGGCAACAACGACAGTGTCAATTTTTGTAAAATATCTTTTCTACGTTAGCGACATGGGAAGGACAATGGGAAAGGAAACCAGTCTTCACATTCTACTTGGAACTCATCAGGGATTTGCTTCACTTGTCTATGTATATGTGTTTCTTCCTCGTGATTTTCATGTAAGTGATCAATCGACTCTTATTTTGCATATGCATTGCAGCCCTCATGAATCGTCCTAGAGTGTTTACATGGAGGATCATGCAATTTAAAATTTTTAAGGTTGGAATTGATGTTAACGTTTTGATTTACAGACATGAATGTTGGTTCAAGAATTACACTTTGAAGGTAAATCATGTCTGAAATCAGACAAACTAGCTGCTGGAATTTTTGTGCAGCACAGGCCCTCTGTAAATTATTATTTAGAAATTAATGGGTGAGAGAAAGATATTTAGTTTTTTACAAGGCTGATAGAAATCAATCCTTTAAAATAGTAAGTTCCAGATTGAGTTGCAATGGCACTGAGATTTGCTTTAATGGTAACTTCCTTATTGGCGGTCCCCTACTTTCTAGCAACTGATATATGTCATCTCCATTTCAGATACTTTGAACATTAATTAAGAGAAGGTCCTTCTAAATTACTTAGCTAATTATAATATCATGGAGACTTGGTAGTATGGGATGCCAAGTCCCACATTGAGTAATATAGGATGCTCAATAGGATCTATAAATGGGTTGGTTCTCCTACTTTAGTAGCTGACTTTTGGGGTAGAGCATCCCATCCCACTTTGATACCCATCATAATATTAGTTAAACTAATTAAACTAATGCTCACTGTGTTTGTCATGGAACTTAGCTTTTATCTTACTGCTATATTATTTGTCCAAAGATATTATATAAGGTTATGGTCACCAGTCACCTCCCACTGTTTTCTTCTATTGTTCTTTAGTAGTGAGTGTTATTTTAAAATAGCTTGTCTAGCTTTTGGTTTACTTGTTTGTCCTGTTTTTGTTTTAATTTGACTGCATGTTTAGTCTTCACAGGCTATTTTTTACCTACCAAGTACTAATCTTAAATTGGCTTTGGTACAAATTATGGTGTGCCTTTACACTTAATATGGAAGTTGTATGAGACATTTAGGAACTTCAAAGTTCGTGTTGCTGACTACATACGCTATCATAAGATTACTTCAAATATGAATGATCGGTTTTCAGATGCAACCCCTGAAGAGCTTAACGCGTTAGTTTTTAAAATGTTACTTACACTTGTTAGTTTTGTAGTTAAACTTATACGATAGTATTGATTTTTTAAGATGGCTATGCAGAAGCGATGCTACATGTATTATCTGTCGTGAAGAGACGACTACAGCCAAGAAACTTATATGTGGACATCTTTTTCATGTGCATTGCCTCCGATCATGGTTGGAGCGGCAACATACTTGCCCTGCCTGCAGAGCCTTGGTTGTACCACCTGAAAATGGCGCAACTACTGCTAGAGGGCAGCATGGATCACAGTCAGATCGACAGGGTAACCATATTAGAACAGATACTGTATGCGTAGTTTGTTAGCATATTAATGATTTCACTATGCCAAAATTGAAATTATACTGTTTCTGAGGAAATAATGCCTTTAGTAACTAAAATGGAAAATGGGAAAAGTGAAGGTGATATAGTTTGATATCGACAGATTAGTCCTCTTCAGATACGCCCCTTCCATACAAGAACCAAACATTATCCTATTTAAAGCATGTCAGTTTAGAATTTTTTTACTGTACAGACACTTTTTTTAAAGACTAGGATTATTTCTGTCCCATTTTCTTTTATATTTCTATGCGACTTATAAAATGGTGTATTGTGTATGTTGAAGATTGAAATAATTTATTCAACTCTTGAAACCATGTTTCCTCTTTTCTTGGGACAATCATGTTTTCTTACTTTTTGTTTAACATGGTATCATTTCGAGTTTAACACTACCTGTTTACATATTTATGAAATTATAAAATAACATGAATGAAGTAAAGATTGCAGCTTTGGATGGTGCTGAACTTGATTTAGGCTGGATTATTATAACTTGGAACAGGAACAGGAACAGGATAGTACTGGAAACTCATCTCAAGCTCAAGGTGGCAATGGGGTGGCTATTGATAATTTGAGTCGTCATCAAGCTAGACTCCAAGCTGCCGTTGCCTCAATGTATGAGAAGTCTTACGTATACCCATCATCATCTGCAACTTCTTTAGTATGGTATATCAGTGATTTACCATCCACCTTTCTTTATATACTTAAACAGACTGATCCAGAAACAATGAATTTAACTGAAGACACATTGTGTGCCTGGGTTGTTCTTGTTGAAAAATAGTTAGCAGATGCCGCAAAAGGAATATATTATATATTTATATACATTTGGTATATTCTCTTAATCTGTTATAAAGGAGTAACTAACTGAGGCAACACACTTGTATGTTTGCAAAGATGGCACATGAGCTTTTGGTTGAATCTGAGACAAACGTCTAATTTTTCAAAAAATTTTCTCTTTTTCCAGATCTAATCTTAAGCATTCTAGTATTTTTGAAAAGAAGTTCGAACACTGATTAAGTATGTGGAAGTTTGCTATGACAGTACTGAAGCTATTAATATGGTTACCAGGATTTGCAATCAAAACCATCTGTTTGGTGATGTTATTGAAATTGCTAGACTCTTCCTTGAAAGAGATTAGACTATTTCTTTTGATTTCGTATACAGGGAAGCAAACATTTGTGCTCACTTATTAGCACAATTATCTCATTACTGGATTAGTGTTGATTTTTGTACCTATGTCCATCCTCCACCTCTTTATCAGAAGTTGGTGAATGATGTTAGGAGAGTTGTTCTTTGTACTCATTAGTTTGTAATGTCTTCTATTAGTTTGGTTAATATAGGTTCCATATGTTGGCAATAGCTGGTGAAATTATAGCCTGAGTCATGCCCAAAAACATTATCCTTAAGAGCTATTTCGCTACACCGAGTTGATCGCGCAGCAGCTCCTCAGGATTAAACATACTCTTCCTACTAAAAGCAGGGGCAAAGAACAATAGAAATTCACAAAATATACTTAGGTAACTGCACAATGAACTAGTATGATAGAAGAGGAGAGAAAGGTCGAGAGTACCAAGGCTTTCACTGAACCCATGACAAGCATTGCCTTTTATAGGCAGATCTCATAATGTTGGGCAATAAAACCACTTTAATCACAATTAAAAAACGGTTTCAAATAATAATGTTTAAATTATAAGTTATAAAATAATAAATGGACTTAAATAATAATTAATATTATTAATTTATAATAATTTCTTTTGAAATACTCAAAAATATTTATAATATCCAACAATGCCCCACATATTTCAAAAGGAAGGAAGATTTTTGAAAAACGATCTTATACAAATAATTTTGTATCTCCAAAAATAGTTTCCAAAATTTTGGAAAATTGTCCAGAATTACATCTAACTTGTATGCAATTGTATGCAAGAGCCTATTTCTCTTCTAAGCCCATTTATTGGCCCAAGTTCACATCTCAATATCTATAAACTAAGGCCTTCTATCATTTGAGCAACATGACACTTTCCTTTTTGACATAATTGTAACAATCCCCCACATATGTCAAAAGGACCACTATCATCTGTGTCACACCCCTAAAACAGAGAGTGACCGGCATAGAATGTGAATTGTATCATACATCCCTTAAACCTCAAATTAAGTGAAATTTCACTTTTCAAAAACATAATTATATTTTTATTGAAATTATGATATCTTTAACAATGATTGTTTTAATAAAAGTTTTAATATTATTATAAAAATTTCGGCAAAACCTTCTTTATAAATAAGATTTCTCGAAATTTCTATAACAGAAATTATTATAGTATGCATTCAATAGGTTGAAACTATGTTTCCTATATACAAACAGTCAACATAATAGAACAAAAATTAGGATCCTAGCTATAGTTAACGTGGAGCTCCTAAAGCATAAATTTTTTTTAAAATAAAACATCTAATTGAATATTTACATTAAAAGAGAAGGGATTTACAAAAATAAATATTTATCCAGTACAGTTGTAAGCCCTTAAAGGTCGGCAAGAGGTCCAGCATCAATTAATAAATCTGAGACCAAAATAATTTCCAGTAAATAGCATCTCCAAAAATAGAATTTAACAGAGCAAAATAATAAACTTACTATTATATGAAATAATTGAAAGGAAATTAATTTAGATTAATAACTCACAATATCTAGAAATATCAATTATAATAATAAAACATGAATGAGTTAAAATTTCTCGAATCTGATATGTTAAAAGAGGATAATTTACTCATAATTGAGTAAAAGTAGCAAACTTACTAACTGCAAACATTGAAAATTCAATTATACTAGCTGAGAACAATCAATTTAATATAATCATGAATTTGAAGATTAAGAAGTTCCATATAACTTCAAAGTACTAAACCATTAAATTAATAATAACAAAACAATTCAACTCTTTGTGCTTGTAAAGAAAATTAAATAAATAAATAAATAATAAATAAATAAAAGTACCCTTTATTAAATAAAATTCATAAATCAATTAAAAGCTAATATTTTTAAGGACTTTTGCAGAACAAGTATCAAACGTAGACACACAGTCCACGAGGGTAAAATAACCAAACGCGGCTTATGCCACGAAAACAAACGTGGACACACCAGTCCACGAGAGTAAGTAATCAGATGCAGCTCAAGGCCACGAAACAAACGTAGACACACAATTCACGAAGGTAAGTAACCAAACGTGGTTCAAGGCTACGAAACAAACGCGAGTGTGAGGCTCATGAATAACAAACGTGAGAACAAAGCTCACGAAAATCAAACTAGCTAGTCTAACCAAGGCGCATCAAGGGCTAACGGAACTGCCGTTAGCAACAGTGTTCTACTTAAAGTCCTCGTGAAATCACTTTTCAAACATGTGAGAATAATCATTTTTGAAATACACTTTGTGTTCTCAATATCAAACTCGCATGAATCATTTCAAATCTCAGAGTTTGCCAAAACATTATTTCATAACAAATGTATAAGCTTGTACTAGATGAGTAACCAAGAATTTCAAAAGTAAAATAAACAAAGATGCCTCCATCGATCTTGAAAATATATTTCGTAAAGAAAATACATGCATATACCATAATTTAATTAACTTTTGCCATCATTCTAAAATTTTTAGAACCAAAATGATTTCATTAACAAAGTACATAATAATCATCGTAGTTGTTAAAATAAATTATATGAAAATGTAATATTTTTAAAAATAGACTACTTTAATTGAAAAATGATGGGGTGCTATTCACTTACCTATTAAATTCCAAACCCAATGATTTCCTTCCTCAATTCTTATTAAGAGATTCATCTTCCACATACCCTATATGAATAAATGAAACCTCAATTTGCTTCCTATAGTTATATAAACTTTATTTTATTACCAACACAATTCCAATCACTTGGAAGTATTCAAGATTTCAAAAACCAAAATTTATATCTTAATGGTCTCCAAACATCATCACTTACCACCAAGTTACCTCATATCATACCAATCATAACTACTATTTAAATGAGATATGGTTTTTCTTATACCTTATGTCAAACACCTTGGGTGCAAAATTTCCAAACACCTAAAATTAAATTTATCATGCTTATTTTGCCATTTCTCAAATATCTTAAATGTATTCTCAAGATCGAATGATAAACACCCCTTTTCATATGAATTTATAAATTACTCAACATAAATCTTCTAAAAATTCAACTAACCACACTACAACTCAAGAATCAAACTCCTTGCATTGCTCAAGTTAAAACTCACATAAATAAAATTTGAATCGGTCATGCCGCTCATCCCACTAAATAGAATTCCAAAAAAAGTCTAAATCTAGCAAAACTCTTCAAACAAGCATCTTACCGAACACCTTATAAGCACCAATCTCAATCTCATGCCTAAGCCCTTCCCTTCCAACTTCATCCCACCAAATCCTCAAAATCAATCAATTAGACCAAATTACTTCAACTTAAAATTCAAACCCATATATACCATTATGAAACTTTAAGATCCATTTCTAACTTAACTTTGAATTTTCATTGTCATTTCATTTTTTTTCCAGCAGCACAACAGCAGCAGAACCAACAGAGAAAACTTGAATTTTGACATCCATGACTTCATCCACTTACACGCACAGAAATTCTCTAAGGAAAGGAGAAGTGATCAAGTTTCTTACCTCTAATAAACCAACACGCACAAACAGGGAGAGGAAGAGAAAATCGTGCCTGGACAAAGGAGGGAAAAAAAACTGTCGTTGAGCTCAAGGAAAAGATGAACAGATCGATAACTGATAAAGTAAGCAAAAGAAAGCAAACCTTCTTGCACCCATCCATAGTCACCAACAGCACAGAAGAAAGAATTTCGGTAAGCTAGAACAGAGGAGAAGAAAGGAACAGAAGCCATGAGTTGTTGGATCAATGCCGGACGGAGCTTCCGCAATCACATCGGCAAAGATTCTGGTCGGAAAGGACGAAGGAGGAGGTGAAGCTGAAGGACCGAGCATCAAAGTCGTTTCTCTCTCTCTTTCTCTCTCTCTCTCAGTCGTCGGTCTCTCTGGAAAAATCGAAGGAGCAGAGGAGAATATATCAAATTTATCATAGGGGTAGTTTGGTAATTTCACAGAGAAAAAAGGCAAAAATAATCCTCCTTATGGCTTCCAGCAGATTCAAACTTGGGACCTATTGAGGGAATATTTGCATAACTACCACTACACCAGCTTCCCTTCTTGACATACTTGTCCCAATAATTAATATATTTACAATCAATACACATTATTACATATTTAATTTAATTTTTTTTGGGTTATTACAATCTGAGTTATTTTCACAGAAGATAATCACTTCAAATTTGGTATCTTTCAACTTGAACTAAACCTAGACCAATAAAACTTAACATACAAAAAAGTTGGTGTAACTTTGTTATTGAACCAACAGATCTTGGTCGTGTGCTAAAGGTCTTATTAGTCAAATTATACCCCCACAATTTCCATTGTTATCGCGGTTTTGCACGTTATCGACCATATACATGCCTGGTTATAACAAATGTTCTAGAGATTTCGCCACGATCTCATAAGAGTGGCCTCACTCCACATTTGTATCATCAAATCTGTATGAATATACCATCATCTATAGAGTGATATTCTAGCATTTTCTCAAGTCATAAGAAGGGACAAAAAATTTAAAGCTAGCAGAACTAATAAGTAATTTGTTCTTACCTATTGAACTTTCTTCATGGAATCTCCAATCACAAAGATTGGGTTGCCATCACCGTTAATTTTAAATAGGCTTAAGTCCCATTCCCCTCAACATTTAAATAATTAAAATTCTTCCCCAGGGGTTAGTTAACGGATCCATCAGATTTACATCTGATCTCACGTAATCGATTAAGATAACTCCCTTTT